CCGCACCTGGTGAGGGGTGGGCAGTGGGGTGGGGGTGCAGGGACAGACACGTGTTTGTTGGCCACTTTGCTGGTGCCCTCCCGCCCCCCAGCTCTCCATCTGGGCTGCCATTCACCGCTCTCATCCCCTGGTGACCCCTCCGTGGGCGCATGAGTTTTTGGGGGGCACGGACCTCTCAGAGGAGCTGAGGGAAGCTAGGACGCCTCCCCCTGGAAGTGCTCCAGGCACGTGTGTATGGAATTTGGCTACAATTTAGGGGTCTACTGAGTCCCGATGCTCCTCATCCATGGGCCCTCTGAATGTGCGTGACAATCCGAGTGAGCAGACTTTGATGGGGTTCTGATGGGGGCTACACCAGGGGCGGGAACAAAGTAAGGGGAGGGGTCACGCACTCAGGGCCCAAGCAGGGAAGGGGACGATAAAGGAGGCCCCCATAGGGCCACCCATGACCACCGACACCTGGCTCCAATAGCGGGGCCAGGGGATCGGAAGGCACTGCCCCGGAGCTTGGGGAGGTGGCCCCGTGTTGCCTGACATTCCTTTAAAAACATGCTGGCAAAGAGTAAACATTTAAAACACAGAGAAGACGAACACCAGCCCTCTGAGGGTCAGATCTGCACCCCACACCCCTCGTGAGTGATCCCTGCTGAGCTACAGTGAAAGGCCAGTTCCAAGGAGCTAAGAGTATCCGAAACTAAGGTTTATTTTTTCGAAATTTGGTTTTCTTGAGGTTGCATAGTAAGGGTAACAGGGCCAACCACGCGCTGTCTGAGCGACGCCCTGGAAACCGCTTTATTGATCAGAAATGCCCCCTGACCCCGGGCAAACCTCCACGAGGCAGACCACAGGCCACATCCACGGGACGGGGCTCTGTTCCTCCTGTCGGACCAGCTAGCGGATGGGGAAGGTCTTCATGAGCTCGCATTAAGGTTCCACGAGCACAACGCCAGTCACAAAACAAGGGCCCGGTCCACATGAGTTCAGGGCATCAGCGGGGTGCCATTGGCTCGTTGGGGTACGGGGGAGGGGGTTGTAATACAGGACAGGCTCAGAGACCACGAACATCGTTTCCTCGTGCAGCCCACCAGGCACCCCTTGGTGACCCTATCTGCACCGTGAGCAGTGTGGGCGCCAGCAGTACCGAGGTCTCAGCAGGAGAGGGCGTGGGTTTGCCTAGGCTTTGCCACGGATTCGCTTTGGTCTCTCCACATGCAAGAAGGGAATCAAGCAATTGCCTGTCTCACGGGGGTCTCACGGGGGTTGTTGTGATGGTGCAAGGAAGACCGAGGTACTGGAGGGTCTCCTGGGAAAGGGGCAAGAGTTGTGTAGATGTTTGTGATTCTGCCTGTTTTTTCTAGAACGTAGTGGAACACTGGGCGTGTCGGAAGCCACTGAAACATCCGAGTAACCTATGACAATAGCTGACATTCACTGAGCATGGACCAGAGCCGGGCACTACTCTTTGAACTTCAAATGGGTGAGCACATTAAGTCTCTGAGGGCATCAGGGCTCTGTTTTATAGATGAGGACCCATTTTACAGACGAGGACACTGAGGCCCGCAGGTGCTCAGTCACGGCCTGGGGGATGAGGCTGCCGCCAGGGCCCACGTGACTAGCACCACACTCTATTGCAGGCTTGCTTCCCGACAAAACCTCCCAGGACTGGTCCGGAAGCCCCACTAGGTGGGGTGGGCTGAGCTGCAGGTTCCTGCCCTGGGCTACGGTAAGGCGGGAAGCAGGCGGCTCCCACCCTCTTGCTTCTCCCATGATCAATCTTCGAGAATTCCTGACTGACAATGGATTTGGTGGGTCTTTGGTTCTGAAGTGAACCTTCTCCCTATCACAAGGGGCCGGAGGTCTGGACCTGTCTCCGCTTCCTCCTCACCCCCCACTCCACCCCCCACTTCATTCCAACTTCCACCCCCAGGTTCGCGTGAGCCAAACCTGTCACGGATCCCCATGGTCTTTTGGGGGGCGCTTCCTTGTCCGATGTCTTACACAAATCTCTTGCCCTTGGCCTGCCAGCATCCAGCCCACCGGATAACTCTGACTGGGGCCATTTCCCCCAGAGGCACCCGCGTGCCGAGCCTGGGGGAATTTCATTTGGCAAACCCTGCTAAGTGGCAGCCCTCTGGGTTCCCTGCCAGTGGCTCCAAGCGGCCGGAGCGTGCAGGGGCACTTCGCACATGTGCTCTGCTTGTCCTTTGGGAGGCATTCACGTGGGATCCTTGCAAAGCGGAGGGGCCCTGAGAGCTGGTCAAAGGCAGAAAGACAGGAGGGAGCACCGTTTGCTCTTGGACACGCTGAGCCCGAAGACGCGCACCTCCGGGCCGTGTCTGGGGACGGGCCGCCGGGTAACGTGTTTTCCTTTTAATCGAGGTGAGAGCTGCATAGTTCGCAGGAATCGCTCTCTGTCGTGTACTTGGATTACAACGGGCAGACCTCTGCAATGGAGCCGCTGACCCATTTTAATGAAATGATTTTGCGATTAGATTCCATGGACTAATGTGTTCTTCCCAGCATCCCCCCTGCGGCTTTTGTTATTGCCCTGGTCTGTAATAACGAGGGGGTCGGAGTGTAATATTTCGTGTGGGTGGAGGCCAGAAATGTTAATCACGGCGTAGGCACGTAAGCAGAAGGGCCCGTCCCCAGGCACAGCCCGCCCGAAATGCCACCTCCATCGCTTCATTTTTCACGATCGAAACGATCCAGGGTTTCTCAGAGCCATTTGTTCTGCCTAATGCTCAAAACCACCCGAAAGTATTTTTAACTTTCCCAGGGCTTTAGAAGTCGGTTCCCATCTCACTGCGCATTTGTCACTGCCAGAGACGCTGAGCCAGGGAGGGTAACCGCACCAGGCGGCCCGGGGCTCTCTCCGGGGCGGGTTCCGGGGCTCTCTCTGGGGCGGGTTCCGGCAGGAGAGCGCTCGGGGGACTTGCACAGGGGCCACAGAACGAAGCCCGAAGCCCGGCTGAACCGGGTCTTGGGAGAGCTGACGTCATGGGCACTCCTCCTCCTGCCCGGGTGGTCTCCTCCCCTCCTGGGCAGCTCAGAACAAGGACACTGGGTACATGATCACAGAGAAGCTTTAATAGATCGGGGGGGGGGGGGGGGGGGGGGACACAGAGAACTCCCAGGTTGGGAAATGGAGCTCAGGTGACCTTCTACCTCGTTTGAGGTTCTCTGTCTCCCTGCGGCCAAGAACTCGGTTCAACATTCCTGGACCCCAGGGAATTCCTGTGGCGTGACTGCCGCGCAGCAGGGAGTAGCGCCTCTCGGCTCAAATGCCAGGGCCGCCCTGTGCCTCGGTTTCCTCATCTGTATCCAGGCATGATGAAGCTCACACCTCCTGGGCGAGGATTAAATGAGCCGCTCAGAGGTTCCAAAAGCCCTAAGGACCCGGTCGCCCGGCGCCTTCCCGCGAGGGCGGGCGCAGGCGTTTCAGCGGGAGCCATTTCTAGAGGAAGTGGCTGGGCCGGGGCTCC